ATAACACATCACATGCAGCGTTACGCAGTTTGGTTTGGAGGTTCCATGCTGGCTTCAACAGTAAGTCTTCATCAAAGTTGTTCTTAATTTTTGTTGTATGTTGAATTCTGGATCTATTTGATCCCAGTACTAAGTTGTAAACTTTTTCATTGTCACAGCCTAAACTGTGTCACATTCTGGAGTCCTTACCCAAATTTTATCTCAGTAAAATTTGTACAGGGCAAATGGAAGCTTGCTCAAGTAAGGATATTATGAGTTGACATAATTCTGAAGTAATTTTGATATGATAGTTCAAATATAGTGCCCTTATTCTTTAAATCAGCACTAGAGATTAGTTAGGACTTCAGGAATATAGAATCCAAATCAATGGTCTTAAATGCAAGAGAGAAGCAAATACAAGAAAATGGGAGTAATTGGTGTCTGCCAAGTGGGACTTCTTACTGCTGTGTTTAAAAGCAGTCCTGCGACCAAAGTTCTTTTGATCAGTTGCATTCATATCCTACTATTTCTCATTTTATTATATTTCAAAATGCAATACAATGTTGTAAAGTTGCAAGCTACAGAAATGTCAAGACATTATTTATTTGTTGTTTTTTTACTACTTACATTCTTATGCTTTTGGGGGGATTTGTTTTATATTTTTATAGCCAGAGTTTTTCCAAGTGTGTCACACCAAGAAGGACTATGAAGAGTATGGCCCTAGTATTTGTCGTCATAATCCTGTTTTTGGAGTCATGTCATAACGTTCATCCAGTGGAAATAAGATCTCTGAAACAATGCTGGTGAAGAAACTCATGAAGTGCAGAGGAAGGCAGCAGATACTGTAAATACTGAAGCAAGATGTGGTTAACTCTGAGGCATTTGGATCACCATTGTGCACTAAAGCACAGCTTACAGCCCTAAGTCATTTCAGTACGAGCCATTTCTCTGCTGACTACTCAGAGTCTTTCCTTCTTTCTTCCTAAATGTGAGGTTATTGAAAATAGGTACGTCTCGGTTTAGGAGGTTGTGCAAATACTACTGAAACTGCATCTAGAAGAATAAGGCAGTGTTTTACTGCTTGTGGAAAGATCTAAACCTTTCCCACTTGTGCCCTGAGTTTGCAATCAAACCTTTAGCAATGGAGCACTAAATACCACATTGCCTTTAGGGGAGTTGGAGTGGATACAGGTACCTACCCAAATGGAACAGATTGCAGGATTGGGACAGTACTTTGTAAATGTAGGTTTTCATATAATTTTGTATTTTATGATGTTGGTAGGGTGAATTGATGACTAGTTCTAAGCACGAACAGCTGTCAATGTCATGGAGTGGTGTTATGCATTTCCAGGTGTGAGGCGTGTATTGGAGTAGTGCTGGTATATTTTTGGGGGAAAAACAAAAAGCCATGTATGATAGAAACTGATCTGTTCATGTTTGGATGATACAAGTGATTTACAGTATTGTGCAAAGTTTATTATAGCCACTGTTCTTTTGTTTTGAATTTTCTGAAAATGTTTTTTAGGAGATGATGTTTTGTTTTGCTGTTGGTGAGTGATGGATGACACACGGGCCTTGCACCAGTGAAATAAAAGCTGTTAACATCTTTATGAATGTTGGTGGTCCTGATTTCCTCTCCCACTTCACCTCACGAGGTTGGCTTTGCATTTGTATTTCTGTCTATGTGGGATCACATACGCTGAATGTAAAGGGAGCTCTGGAGAATTCTGGTCTTGTTTAGTGCAGGTCTCACTTCAAAATGCTCTGTTTGCTCAGGGCCAGTCAAGTTTCTGTGAATGGAGATTCCTGAACACTTGGGCAAGTTGTTCCAGGCCTTAACTACTCTGTTATGGGTACGTGTTCTTGTGTTATGGACAAAGCTTTTGTTCTGCTGTGGTTTAAACCTAATAGAGTAGGAAATCCTGCTTCTCCTGTCCTTGCTGATATTTATCCTAAAGGTTTTAAACAGTTTCTGTAGCCCAATCAGAGTTTTGTTAGACAAATAAATTTGATTTTAGCTTTCATATTTTTTTTTCATGAAGGAATTGAGACCAAGCAATTATTTCTTCAGCATAAGTTAGAAATTAAACAAAATGGGACTGCAGGACTCAAGCCTGCTTCTGAATGCTTTTCAACTTAAAGCTCAGCACTCAGGGGAAAAACATTAAAACATAATTTGCTCAATCCTCTCACTAAGAAAGAAATGGATATTCTATTACAATATCTACTGTTTCAGCTTGTTCCAGTGTCACATCTGCTTGTCTCTGTTTAAATCTACATTTCAAATTT